TGCTGTCACACGCATTACGGGGGACTTCCCCCCGGCGACCTGGAGACTATACAAGGTGTACGGAGGCACACAGGTAGCGACTGCACTGCTCCCTTCGCGCCAGGTGGAAATTCTACTCAAAGCCGAGAATTTTCAGATTGACAGGCTTACTTGCCACGTTAGGATGAAGCTGGTCGGTAGATGCTTTAAATGTGTAGGCTTTGGCCATATCTTCACCTCTTGCAAGGGCCCCGACAGAAGTGAAGAATGCTACAAATGTGGCAAAAAAGGGACACTTGACCGAGGACTGCAGAGGGCCAGTTCAATGTATTGTCTGCAAAGACCAAAACCTAGAAGACAATCATGAGCTGGGTAGCTATAAAAGCTCTTCCCTCACTGCAGAACTAAAAAAACTCAGTAAAACAAAGAATGCCTAGGTTCCTTCAAATTAATGTAGGCAAAGGAAAGATCTCCCAAGATCTTCTCATTCAAACGGCAAGGGAAAGACAGGTGGATGCATTACCGGTCAGTGAGCAGCATTATATTGACGACATATCCCTCTACCAGGACACGACCAGACAAAAGGAATTATAATACTTAACTCCACAATAAGAGTCTCTAAATTTAAAGTTACAAACCAAGGTTTTGTACGTGTAGAAATGGACAGCCTTAGAATATATACTTGCTATTTCTCCTCAAACGACCGAATAGAGAAATTTAAGAAACAAATCGACGAACTGGAGGCAAACATGAACTGAGCCCCAGGTGAAATAATATTGACTGGAGACTTTAACAGTAAGTCCCCAGATTGAAGGTCCCGGAAACAATATCGCAGAGGCGATATTGTTTGCGAATTCCTGGCTAGGAATAACCTGGTAGTCCTAAACACAGGGAGCTCATGTACATTCCAAAGGGGCGCAGCTTCCTGGATAATAGACTTAACAATAGGAACCACAAGGATTGCCAAGAATGTCCTGGATTGGCAGGTTCTCGACGCTGAAACACTTATCGATCACCGCTACATTGAATTCTCGTCTTCATTCGCTGGAAACAGAGCTAGAAGCAGGAATCAGTCAAACATCGGTCCGTCTTGGAACACCAAAAAGCTAAAAGAAGCTGATGCCTTAAAATTCCTTGACGAGGCTAAATTACTGGAATCCATGGGGTCGAGTAATAAGAAAAGTGCAGAGTCCATCGAAGAGGTAGTTCGGGAAACGCGAGAAACCGTTAAAAATACGTGTGACATCTCAATGCCCAGACGTAGGAGCCCAAAGGGGAAAATCAGGTGTATTGGTGGACAGTGAGTATTGCAGAGCTTCGTCAAGCATTTGTTAAAGCTAGAAGACTTGCAACAAGAGCTAAAACGGACGTTGTGCTTAGGGAAAATTACAAGACGGCCCGCAAAAGACTAAAATCGGAGATAAAAAGAAGCAAAACAAAATGCTGGAAGGCCCTATTAAACGAGGTGAACAACGACCCCTGGGGAAAAGCCTATAAGATTGTTATGGGCAAATTTAAACCTTCAACAACCGCGGGGCTAGAAGAGCCCGAATGGGCGAAGGCAATTATCCAAGACCTTTTCCCTAGCAGAGAATGCTGGGTAAGGAGCAGACCTTCTGACTACCTCTTCGACGAAGACAACCGCTTCACGAAGGACGAATTAGTCCAGACGATGAAGAACAAGATTGGAACTGCACCGGGACTTGACAGAATTCCGAACGCGATCCTGGGGATAGTTGTACAAGAATACCCAGAATGCCTTTTGAAAGCCTTTAACCAGTGTCTTGAACAAGGGAAATTCTATAAGGGTTGGAAACATTAGAAGCTAATTATCGTGCGGAAAGGGAACAAGCCAATCGATCGGACGTCATCGTTCAGACTTTTGTGCCTCCTGGATACAATGAGCAAATTACTGGAGGGTTTGCTCCTTCTACAACTAAAGAGACATGTTCAATTTTCAACGAGACAGTTTGTATTTAGAAAGGAACTCTCGACGATAGACGCGATCTCAGAAGCAGTCCACCACGCAGAAACAGCAAAAAGGAATAAGAGTGTTTGTGCCCTGGTTGCGATTGACATCAAAAATACCTTTAATTCTGCCAGCTGGAAAGACATCATACAAGCCCTAGTAGCTAGGAAGATCCCTGAATACATTGTGAGGATCCTGGAAGACTACCTCAGTGAGAGGAAAATAATCTACACTTACGGGTATAGAATTGAGGAAGACATGACCTGCGGTGTTCCACAGGTACCAAGATTGTCCCCTTCCTGTGGAATACCCTATATGACGACCTGCTGAATGTGTTGGTCTGTCTAAATAAAAACCGTCTGATTAAACATAAACGTAATGTACGCACTTAAACACAAAACAGACAGACGCTATATAAAATCCTGACTGTTTACACAGATACATTATTTTTTGCTTTATAAATGTTTATTAATTTAAATTTAACCGAAACAAATGAGAGTACAGAGACGAAAATAGAAGATACATTGCGAGAATGGAAACAACATAATAGTAATCAATATGAAAATATAAAAAAGATAAATATGTTATAGATAAATTACATGATTTAGTTGGTAAAGTAGAACATGTTGGTAAACACGATATGCAATCTATTCAACATGAACATGATAAAAAATAGTGCATAAAAACACGATTTTGGTTATGATGATTTATTTCCAATACCATATGCACAATCAGAATCATTATTTGAAAAACAATTAAATGAATCACCAGATACTCCAAGAAGATAAGAATTACATAAAAGAATTGAAAGCAATAGAAGATTAAATAAAGAAAAAAAATTACACAAATTAACAGAATATCTTAATAATGATAATTATCCAGCATTTGGTTTAATACTCCAACGCAAATATAAATATATTTGTGATACAAGAGTTGAATTTATTTACAATGATATTATACAAGGGAAAATATAAAGGTAGTAATGGGTTATTACATCTACTAACCAATAAATCATTATCAAATATTAAATATACAGATGAAGATTTAGAAAATCATAAAGAAATTGCAATTAAAACACATCTAATATTTAAAGATTATGATCCAGATACTAATAAAGTTCGATCAAATGTTGGAGAAAAATGGAATAAAAAAT